TATTATTATTATTATTATTATTATTATTATTATTATTATTATTTTTGATTGTTTTTTTTATAATAGGTCCACGGTAATTAAAAAAAAAAAGAAAGAACATTCTGTAAATAAACTAAAAACTCTGTTTTTTAATCACAAGACAATCTGGGCAAAGAGCTGGAATGTTAAAATCAATTCTTTTTCTAATACTTATCCCAGCGATCAAGTGTGTAGGTAAACCTGTTTACACTGATAGAAGAGAGAGGAGAGTTTCACTGGTTTATGTCGCCCACAGTGTAAAATGAGTTTGACATCCCTTCAGTAGAGCATCGCAATCTGCAAGTTTCTCATTAGGGACCCAGTGAGGGATAAATACGAGCCAGGAAATGTGTTAAAGTGCAAATTTTCTTTTTTATTCTGATATCATTTTACAGCAGAAATTATGTAAAGCATTCAGAAGACATTTTCCACATATAAGGGCAATATTCAAAACACTTTGCATGGCCTCAGCAACAAAATATTCTTTTTAAAACATCAACAATTTAGTGATGCTTGTGCATGCATGTTCGTAAAACAAAAGAAGTTCAAAACTAGGCTACAAAATAAAAAGGAATGAGAGACTGAGATAGGCATGGAGAACACAACAGCAGGCAAGGTGGGAATACAGCAGGAGATGAGAGCGGGAGAAGAGCAGGGAGGGCCAGGGGGGAGTGAAAGAAGAGGAAGGCAAGGAGAGGTCTAGCCATAGATTATCTATGAGGGACTACCATTCTAGCATGCAATGTGGTGTTTGGCCACGCCCTCTCAAAACAAGGCCTGAAAGGTTATATACCATTCATTTCTAGGCGGACTTAAGAGAACAGAGGCCATCTCTGCACATGTTAACCAGCTGTTTACTATGGCAACATTTCTTATTTTTATTTATGTATTTATTTCTTTATTTTATTTTTTTAACTTCTTCTACTCTACATAATCTTTTTACAGTCACCATCCTCTCCAAAAACGTGAGCATATTGATGGATTTTCTGCAATCTGTGTGTTCAGTTTCGCGTGTGCGTGTGGTCTGTAAGCTTGAGCATTTAGAAGTTGTTGTGTATGTGCGTATGTTCATGTGTGTCTGTTATATAAAAGCAGTGTCCTTTAGTTGTGCTGATGTGAGAGGAAGGGCAGTTTAAGAAGTTATTCATGTGATACCGTATGAACGTTCCTAACAGCACTGTCCAAACCATGGCTGTCTCTCAGTATGATGAAACCTCAGAAAACATATGGAACACAATCGATATCTTCCAGCTGTTAATCTCACAATCTGCTATCTCTTTTCACTTTGTTTTATTTTTCAGGTGTTCAGGGGCCATTACCTATTTTTTGTATCACTTATGAATTTCTTATATTAAGAATCTTGTGCGTTTAAGACTACAGCAAATGCATAAGTATTTTTTTCCTACCCTATTACTTGCTTTGAATGGAATTCATATTTAAGCGTGTTTTTCACTCTCTTCTCAGATAAGGCAAACAGATCACATTTGCTGCTTCTAGACTATTATAAAGAGTGTGGATACAAGTGGACGACGTATCCCCGACACATTCAAATATGTACACATACACACCCAAATGTACACAACCTGTCACCTGCAGTGTTACAACTCTGTGCCAGTAGTCATTGCACTCCACATACCATCTCCCTGTTCTTCAACCCTGAGTAAAATCTAAGGGAGAGATTTCATTGTTCCCGAAGACATAAGCACAGAGAGAAAGCGTGTGGCCGTTTTATTTTTGCACCTGTGTGTACATTTGCGTTTATGTGTCTATGCACATCCTTGTGAGACAGGGAGAAAGACAAAGAAAGGAAGTGTGTATGAAAGATATTTTTGTCCTCTATGAGGAAAAAAAAAGCCCAGTTATGATTTTGTTTAAATGTTGTAAAATATTTTTTTTGTAGGGGAAAAGCAGACAAAGTGAAAGAAAACACAGCTTCCTCTTGGAGGGCGAACAGACTCGTGACTGTGCCTTTTATACTTTAGTACACGGAGGCTGAATTCAGCGGTTTTCTCCCTTCTAATTACTGAAAAACGCACACAAAAAGTAGGACTTAACGGCAATAGTGTAATTAATCGCCCGAGCAAGCGACACACAGCGTCAATCAGGCCATGAGCATTCATTCACACCACATTCCCAATTACAGCTTCCAGCTTAGACTAAGGTCAAGTTTAACACTGTCAGATTCATTTGAAAACACACAATTTAGGAAAAAACAAACAGATTAACTGGAAACCTTTCAGAGGACACACAATAAGATACTTCCTGATATTATTTTGCACTTTTCTGTTATTGAGCAGGCACTTTCTAAACAGAGCTTTCCATAAGTCTAAAGTACATGTAGTATAATTATGGCAGTGACAATGAGGAGAAAATGATATGTCAAAACCAAAACGGGGAAGGACATTCTGTTTGAGGATGGAAAGCTTAGACTGGAGGCCAGGTTGGATCCGCTGTAGGTGTGATAAATGATCTTAATAAAAGCTAGTATGCTGCTGAAGCACAACCACATTGTGAAGAATGTAGCGCCCTCTTCCCTTTTTTTTTTTTTTTCTTTTCTTTTGCATCGTCAGTCGTTGCACTCACATTAAAACGATCATCATCGCCATTGGCATCATTTCCCCACGTGCACCGTCACCTATACATAAGCCTGCCTTGGGCAAACTTCAGAACTTGTAGGAGGTCTACGGGTGCGCTGGCACTACATCTCTTCTGCGGTTTATTGTCTGCGTGTTGCCTCGGTAGATCTTACCGATATCTTTTGGGCGTTGGTTTTGCCAACGTAACATACTGTTAGGCAAAATAGCATTCATAATAATTGGCACTACTGGCAAAAGGAGTTTAATTTTTGCTAGCCAAGAAACGAAAAGCACAAAGTGTAAATGTTTTGTCTGAAAGATCGTTGTTTCAGCTAACTTTGTTTTTCCCACTTATAATTCTAACATTAGAGTTTTCAAGTTGCATGCTTTTTAACAAAATGTTCTTTTCAGTAACACTTATAACTGGATACTCTTAAAGTGAAGCAGTTAAAATCCTCTGACAGTCCATAGCCACTAACATGTTCTTTTTGCTGTTTCTTTGTCTTAAATCTCATGCACGTTAATCCGTTTGTATTATCTACATTATTTACAAGCAATACAGCCATCCTGTGTACCCAGGTCTCTGTCTTAAGTTCTCATTATGGGAGTAAAATAATTTATAACCTTAAATACAGTCCTCTTATGAAAAAGTTTCAGGGTCCTCATATCCCCTTACCTCGTCAGTTTATATACAGGAATATGCAATAGTCCAAAATATGGATTTGATTGCCCGTATGGGCTAATATGGGGACCAGTGCCCTGTATAGGGGCAGGTATAGGACCCATGTCCTGTACAGAGCAAGCATAGAGACCTCTCAGACTCAAGAAGAAGTCAAGGCAATGGTATGTGACTCTCTCCTCAAAACCACAGGTAGGATTTAGAGGTTCACGCAAAGAACAAACTAACAGAGACATTTAACCATTGGAACATGTCGCATTTCATCACATGGGGGGAAAAAAACCAGCCTCGAGCTACAACCACTCTTGAGCCAATTAAATAAATAATCAGACCCTTAAATAAATAAAGTTTTTTTTTCCCTTTAAAAAAACAAACAAAACAAAAGCACCCAAAATAAGTAAGTTGTCCTTACACAGTTCACATTACACAGGGCAAGGATAAGTTGATGAGGACGTAAGTGAGACACAATTACACAGAAATACAAAAGAAACAACACTAAAGCAGTTTTGGCAAGCATGCAGGAGCTCGTAGCTCAAACACATGCATTGAATTGAACAAACACGGACACACCACATCAGGCGGGCAAAATGCCGCCTCTGAGAACGACTCCATACAAAGTCCATGTAACAAATTAAGACATCGTTATTCAGACCCCATCCCTTTATCTAACAATGCCCCTCTTACATTCAAGTGCAGTTCCTCCCCTTTTTGATTGGGTGACTAAGTAATAGGTTTGCACGCCTGCGAGTCAGAGTGGTTGGTGATACTGTGGTATACTAAATCGGCAGAATGATTTGCGACTGTAGCTCTTCGGGATTGATGGAGAGGAGGAATAAGCGAAAAACTTGCATGCAAATGCAACACAGAAGTGAGTTTTTTGGTTTATGTTTTTCTTATTCTTTCATGGATTTTTGTTCGGACACAAAACGCAGCAAGCTTTGTGTGTTTTCTGCATGTCAAAGTAGCCTTTCTCTCGAGCGAGCTGTTCATTACGGGAGCCTTTCGGTGCATCCGGCCGCCGCCGTGAACAGCGGTATTCCGTTGTTGGGCGCTTCCTCGTTTTCTCTGGTTTGACTTGTCGACTTGCTCTTGCAAAGAAACATACCCATGAAGAGTGCAAAGAATGCCATGAGGTTAATGTGATGGCCTCCCAGTGAAACTGGGGAGGAGGATCAGTGCTGTGGGCAGAGCCAGGTCCCTGGGCTCTGCCCAGCAGTCTGTCTGTCTGAGCTGCCATGATGGACACCTATCCTGTCCTCAGTCTGTCTGGGAAAGTTTTTTTTTTCATCTTGAGAGAAGAGGGGAGAGGGGGTGAGAGAAAAGAGGGGAGACGAGGAAAGAAGAAAGCAAGGGAAAGGGGTTAGGAAAGGGAAGGGAGTTTAGAGAGGGCAGAAGAGAAGAGACAGAAAAAGGAGAAGATGGAGGGGGACATAGATTGCTCACAGGCTGAGGGGGCTCTGTGCGGGGCCTGGTGGTGGGCTCTCAGGACCCCTGGCCTTTCTCTGCTCTCTGGCCCTGAAGAAGAGCAAACACATATTAGTCTCAGAGTCAGAGATTTGTGTAAGTGTGCGTGCAACTGCATGTCTTGTTTTTTCATTTTCAGATCCAAAGGCCGCACGTAATTCAGCAAATTCCCAGCAACTCCTTCCAACAGACGCACACATTTTCCCTTCTGCTACTCTCCCCACCCATCAAGGCACAAAAAATAAGACTTGCAGGCCAAGCAATACACTTAAAGTCCCCTTGCAATTACAGTCAGAACATGCCCCTAGGAAAACCATACGCAGGGATTGCTCCTCTAACTATGTCAGTCATGCACAAGTCCTGACATCATTTGGCAGAGAGAGAGAGAGAGAGACAGAGAGAGAGAGAGAGAGACAAGGTGATAGGGAGGGAAGAAGAGAGAGAGAGAGCGAGATGGAAGGATGATAATCCAGGATCTCCTCTCCCCCTCCCTCTGCTGACATGCAAACAGGCATCAGCCACCAGGAGAGAGGGAGTGAGAGAAGAGAGCAAGAGAAGACTCACCCGCTTCAGAGGCCTATGGTCCATCAAGGGGCTTCACGTGAACAGTAAAACAACACCAACTATTAGCAATAGTGTAGTGTGCGTATGTGTGGCAGTGGGTTTGTTAAGCGTCAAGCATGTGTCTCTGGATGCGCTTGTGTTTGAATCAGCATTAAGAGTTTTAGGTCTTACCTGTGGCGGCATCGGAGCAGGAACCTCAGGATCTTGCGAGCAGCCTGGTTCTGTTTTTTAGTTAGGAGGCTGCTGCAGGCAAAGATGAGGGGTAAGAGATTATACATAAGATAATTATTCCCTTTGTGTGTGTGCATGTGTGAGACGTGCCTGAGAGAGTGTCTGTAGGAGCGGTAGTATTGCTGGATGAGGACCGCTGCTCTACGACTCTGCTGGAATTTCCTCTGTTCATGGAAACTCCGGAAACGACTCTGGATCAAGATGGCTGCCAGGGTCATCCTCTTATAAAGTGCATACTGGGAGAGAGGACAACAGTGCTGTAAAACTCACTGGGATCAGAAAAGACATACTTTTGCAATACGCAACATGTCTGCACATGATAAGACTCACAGATGCACTACAGACCTGTGAGCTTACTTTGTGCTATATTACATAATGATCAGGAAGCAAAATAATAGTGAATAAAAATCTCAAGAATACACAAAATCCATCATGTGAACGTCTTTTCTTTCAGTTTATGACAGCATTAAGTTATATTTATTCCTCTCAGATTGCTATATTAGAACAAGGTAAAAAAAACACAAGAAGTGCATACGTGTACATGCAAGATTTGCTTTTTCAAGTGGACTGAAATCTGTTGTTCTTTTACTACAGATTTAACCACATATGAGAGAGAATTAAAGTGAAAATTCACCTGATAATTTAGCTTACATCTATGAAAAGAACACAACTACAACTGCTGTGTCACTACTTCACTATTGAACTGCAGAGCGACATGTTAGAGGCTAATCTTGACTACATGTTAACTCTTACCTGCTTGTATCTCTTATAGCAGCGCTGAATCACTGCTGCAATCTCTTTGTGTTGTTCCTGAATGGGACCCTGTGGTAGTGACAAGAGTTTGTCTAAATTTTGTATATGTAAAATGGTTTGCAATCATATTGAGCTTGTTTTTTGTTTTTTTCAAATGTGGATTATGCAACTGAGGATGATACATTGAGTCACTGTAGGCTGAGCATAAAGACAAATTCAGTTTTTTTTTTTCTAAAATAGTTTAGATTACACTCGCCTTGTGTTTTCTGAGGGAGTGCAGAGCATGCCTGATGGTCTCATACAGCTCTCCCTGCTCTGCCTCAGTCATGGCTAGACAGGAGGAATCTGTTTTCAACCTCTCCTCCTTCATAGCTGCACAAAGAAAGGAGGTCCACTCAGACGGGGAGGATGGGGCTTGCTTAGCCTGAGGACTTTGCTGATCCTCTGGCCCTGAGAGAGAATTTGGCTTGGGGCTGGGAGTCTGAGGTTTGGAGTTTAGAAACCTGAGGAAAAGTAAAAAAGGAAGTAAAGTAAAAGTATAGTAAGTAAAAGTATAATAAGATTGAGAATGGTTGTTTGTTAAAAAAAACAAAAAAACAAAAAAGCAATGCAATAACTTATGCAAATATGTGAACCTCACCTTTCCACCTCACCAAGGTAACCAGACAGTAATCTGACATCACTGCTGATCCCAACCTTCCTGGATTCAATTTCTGCTTCAATAACCTCCTGCTTGAGTCTGCCAGTTGAAGCCTCCACAATGTGATCAGCTAGCATTGTGATGTCCATCTGCAAATCATGAAAAGGAAAGGTTACCTAAATATTTACAAAACCTACTTCCTCTTAGTTTTTTGGGTAATTTTTGAATAGTCTCACATAACACTCTATACTTAAATGACTCATCTCAAAGACTCTTATACTTACAGCTTCCTCCTGCACAGTAATACATGATTTACCACTTCCATTCTGAGTACTTTTTGAGTTTGCATCAGCTACTCAGTTCATGCATGAACGCTTGGTTAGAGATCAAATTCAACACTGCACATAAAAATCTGTACCTGCAAGTCATCTGCGTTATCCTGATAGGTCAACAGCTCTGTTTCCTCTCCCCTGTCAGACAGCACTCTTTGACGCAGGTGAACGGCCAATCGCTCCTTTCCTAGAATCTTCCTGGCGAGGCTACGCTGCCCCAGAGTCTGTCTCAGACTCCACCTGCTGCCCCCTCCAGCTCCCCCTATCCTGGCCTGCAGGTGGGAGAATGGGGCACTAGGAAGCTGAGGCTGGCTGGGGCTGGACCTGGTAAGTGGTGCCTTCTGACAGCTGAGGTTCGTGGGTTGAGTCTGTAGCGGCTTAGAGAGAGGAGACCGTTGAGGATTAGGACCTGGAGAGGAGTTGAGGGGGGTGGTACCAGAGATCGAGCTAGCTAGCTGTTGCTGTGAATCTGGGTTGGGTTTGAGCCTCTTGGCTGGGGGTGGACCTCCCTGTTCTCCCTGGGTTCCCTTGTGGGGTCTGTGTTCTGTTTGGCTCCAGCCCTGGCTCTGGTTGTCTGGCTTGCTTCCTGCCCTGGTTCTCCTCAGCTCTGGGGAAACAAAGATGGTGGAAAAACAGCGACAATAACACTTACACTTACAGCTAAAATCATAAATAGTGGTGATCATTTACAGTTTTCTGTGTAATGATTTACTGTTGGATTGTCAAACAAAATTTTCAGAATCATTTTGTATATAAATAAAGTCAGCAGTAGGATAGCTTAGCTCAGGAAAAGAAAGTCTGACTGCCTACCAACACCTTTAAAGCTCCCTCTATACAAACGGTACAAAAACCTAACGTGTAAATACAATGCCTTATGACAGGGGTGTCAAACTCAAATACACAGTGGGCCAAAATTCAAAACTGGAACAAGGTCGTGGGCTAACATTAATATTTATTGAAATATATTTATTCCTCCAGATATAAGAATGAATCTCTTCTTATGGACTCAAACAAGTTTGAAAAACTGAATATGGAACAAGCAAAGCTTAATACTAAACAATATATATATTAGCTGTATAATACCAGTAGGCCAGCTCTAATAATAATTTGGTATGGCTTCGCGGGCCAAATGTAATTAGGCTGTGGGCCAAATTTGGCCCACGGGCCAGAGTTTGACACCTATGCCTTATGAAGTCATATTTTTTGGGTTATGTTTAAATGATTCCTGGTGCAATTTCTACAAAACCAGTAAAGAGGAAGTTACTACCATCCAAAAAACACCTCACTACATTTTTAAACACTAATGCTAATGAGGAGGGCTTAAGTCATGCTGGGAGGTGGCTCATGTTATCTAGGTACATTTTCTATTCTCTCTATATTAAGTTAAACTAACCAACTATATATCAGTGAAAATCCATACACTTTTATAATTAAAGGCTGGTGGCTGAAGTTAGTAAATAGAATCTCCACAATAAAAGTCCAAGGATAAATAGAACTTTGTTATTTATGAGGGTGAAACAAAGCTTTTCCTGTTGTTGAGAAACCACAAACCTGAGTTTGGGTTAGGGCTGGGGCTGTTGTTCATCCCACCCGTCTGTGACTCTCCTCTCCATCTATCCATCCAAGTGTCCACAGGCTGGCCCTGAGTTTGAGGACTATGTTGCAGTTGCTCTAGGAGCTCAGCCAATCGAGTGTGGCCCCGGGATCGGGCAATGTTTAGCGGCAAGCGTCCCAGTGAATCAGGAATAGCTAGAGCTCTTGGATCCCACTGGTAAAGCACCAATGCCGCCTCAGTATGGCCCAGAGCACAAGCCCACATCTATGGAAGTCCAAGGAAAACAACTGTCACACACACAGAGGAATGGAAAGAAAGCAATATGCACAAAAAAAACACTGATTGCTCACCAATGGAGTGCAAGAGAAGTGGTCTACGTTCAGAGGATCTACTTCCAGCTCGAGGTCAATACTGTCAGCATGCTTTGTGCTGCGAAGAAACACAAATAGCATTAAAATTACTGGCATTCCAGTTTGTGCCGTCAAGATGGCATGTTGTAATTGTGTGTTCCTCACCGCCAGCGAATGAGTGTCTGAATGAGTCCCGCATAACCCTGAGCTGCAGCCAGATGCAGTAAAGTCATTCCTCTGGAGTTCTTACTGTGGACGAGCTGATTAGAAGAAGCCCAGCACGGCTGAGACATCATCTTCTCACACACCACCACCACACGACCTTCGAATGACCCCTGATCAGGAGAGATCTAGAAGATTGTAAAATAAAACAATAGACTCGGTCAACCTCTTTTCCAAATGCTAAAAATATATTTCAAGGTGTCACTAACTTTTCTGCCATACTGCAACACCTTTGCAATATAAGGAAAACCAGTAAAAACTAATGCTGCTTTTGAGCACTTCACTAAAGAATGATCAGCACTAGTTTTGTATGTGGACAGGGCCAGATTCTTGTATTTGTGCTGTTAAGTAGGCTTTGTAAGGTTGTCTTGTAAATTCAGCTCATTATCAGTCAAGGAAAAACAACTTGTTTTTGTTCCTTTAATTGGCTGACACTTGCAAACAGAAGGATTGAAGAGCACTCCGAATTGTCACAGCTGCCCCAAGATGACCACATATTAGGGATATCCCCTCTCTTTGACATCATCTAGAGCTCAAAGTAGAAAAATATATGTGAAACATTGTGTTAGAGGAGTCTGAGCTTTTGGCTTACATGTATTGCTTGTGCATACGATGACTTCACATGGTGCCGCTTTTAAATAAACAGTTGAATTTGGTTTCACATGGTTTTTAGCACTTCTCTTATGGTGCGCCTTCACATTTTAAAGGTCTAAAGGGAACTTTCATCGTAAGAGGCACAACAGCCTTACTTGAGACTGCTGATCAGTAGCTCCTCCTCCCTCCACTCCTCCTCCCTTTGTTGCCATGGCTTCTGAGCTGGGATTTTGATTGGTTATCTCAGCCATCCTCTGTTCCATCTGCTCCAAACGCTCCAAGATAGACATCCTGAACTGGGTATCTACAGGAATGAAGGTGGGACATTTAAAGCTGTAAGCACCACCAAACTGTGGCATTAGGGAAATCCATGTGAGAGTTCAATAAATGCTATAGAGAAGCTTAAAAGCAGAAGGGATTCAATACTGGCTGAAATCTAATGACTCCCATTATTATCAACAAGAGTGTAAGAGTGTAAATAAGCATGTATGCAATGCAGATTTATGTCTGTAGCAGGGTTGCATGTGACCCTTTGTTTCAGGGCTGCTGCGGTTTTTGCTGCAGTGCACATTATGTCATTCCACCTGCTGCTCTCTCACAGAGTCTCTATTTCTGCTCTGCTCTCATTTCACTCCTATTTTTCTTTCTGCTGCCTGAAGCACAAAGACTGAACCAGAGGTGGGTGGGGCCATGACAGTGACAGAAGGGCTCAGGCTCCTCCCACTCCACTCTGCCAATCCCAGAGCAAAACAGCTCAGCTGACTACAAGGCAAAAACACTCCAATAGTTTTAGCAGCCAAACACATCAGAAACACCTGTCCTCACCTATTATCACCAACGCATCAGCATGTAAACACTCTCACACACACAGAGAAAAAGAATAGACCCTCATATCGGCTACAGTATTAATTTCTGGTTAATAGAAAAAGCTAATACAATAAAATCCCATAATGAAGTTGAAGATATTAACTGAAAATAGGCAGTTAAATGGGTCATTTTATTCCCCTTTTTAACTGTTCAATAAAATCTTGAATTTATTATTTTGTAATTAATTTTCTACCTGCCTTATAATTACTGCTGCTAATATTAGTCTTATTTCACACAGTTATTACCTTATCTTATAAACTGTTTATTTTGTGTGCAATTTTTTCTGACTGACCAGCAAGAAACCGCATTTTCATTATATCGACACATTTTCACCTGTTGAACTCTTTTCTTCTCTGGTTTTTAAGAGTTTGCTTGACAATAATTATCCCTGGTACCTGTGAATTCACTGTGCTGTTCAGACTTCCTGATTTCCTTTGAGATTTGGCCAAAGTGACAAACAAAAACACCAAATTTGAAAGTCTCCAGTGTTATAGCACATCGCTAAATATGCTTTTGATGATCAAACTTGTGCCAAAACTACCAAAAAGTAAAATGCTTTCGGGTTTTTTTATTGTTACACACAGGTCACTGAGAATTCTTGTCATCAATTAAACACACCATTTTTGGGGAAATTATGAAAACAGAGGAACTTTCAAAAATGAACGTGAACATCCAAACATGCCAAAATGTTCCACAAACAACACATCTGCACGTCAGCATCCCCACACTCTTCTATATGCTTGTTTTGATCAGGGCCTCTCTACATGAGCTTCTTAGTGTTCAGAGGCTCTGTCCACTCCTGGTGGTGCTGAAACCGAACAGGTCCACCAGACAAGCTTCATCCACAATTCTACAACTCAACTTAAAAAGGCTGGGAGCCAGCGTGACGGCATCGTGTGGCAGCTTCACCTGCATTTGTTTAAAATCGACTGGCAGGGCAACCACATGGAAACTACTGAAATTAAAAAAAGAAACTGACAGAAAACGTGGGATGAAAACCTAGCAAAGGCTTCACAGCTCTGAATTAAAGTGAAAAATTGGGACGTTTATGTCCATCTACAACACAAGAAAAAAAAAACTCAGCTGAGCTACAAAGACCAGTTAAAAAACATCAACAAATCAAATAAGCTACGAACCCAAACAGCGAGTCTCTCTCTATCTGCTTCTCTCTTTGTTCTTGTTCCCGCTTCAACCCCGTTAGTTTGAAGTGTGCGACTCACACGTTGCTACTCCAGCCGTGCAAAAAAACACAGCTAAGTGCAGGGAGAGAGCAAGAGAGCGAGCGAGCGAGAGAGCAAGAGAGAAGGAGAGAGGGAGCGAGCAGTCTCCACTTTATGTCTGGCAAAACAGCGCGCTTCAAATCCGCCCGCCAGACTCGGAGCTACAGGAGGCTCGGTCGTCAGCATGTCTGCACACACTGGAGCAACGGCGTGTGACAAAGCCGGGTGCTACGGGTGTTTGATTGTAGCTATTTATCTGTATGCTTCACATACTTTGAGCCTCTGCCAAACAAAGGACAAGAGAGGGGGAAACGCGCCAAGCCCGCTATCTCCACTCACAGTCAGTCACAGAGTCTAAATATAGCACGAGCTGCACAGCGCCACCGCCAGCGGTGCCCAGCATTTCGACTGTCAAATGGTCCGCGATTGTGCCTTTATGTCCTTGCCCTTCATTCTAGCAAAGCAAAAAAAAAAAAAAAAAAAAAAAAAAAAATCAGCCAGCCTGCTGCGGGGAGCCGCATTGCCGCATTGCGCAAGGCAGAGACGGGGGCGAACGCAGACCCAGGACATGCCTTTACCGAGGAGACCCGTGCGTTTCCGAACTGCATTTGTATCAAGAGATATATTTTACACACAAAAGCGCCCCCCCCTTTCTCCAGATCACTCAAAGAAAGTTTAATTTTTCTCTATCACCTTTAAAGTACGTTTTTCTTAACTCACACAGAACATCTACAGCTCAAACAAAACAATCCTTTATGCAAACAAGACTCAGTAATAAGCGACTCGGCCCAAAACAAAGCCAACCAGGCAAAGCAAAACATCTCTATGAATGCTGTCAGTGAAGATGAAAGAGCCTGGTACATGCCTGCGCTATTGAAACAACAGGCATCAAAACAGTTTACTGCTAGATACAATTTGCATGCAGGCAGAGGGTTACGGAAAAAACAGCTGCTTGCTAGAAGAGAAGAACGCACTAAAGACAAGCAGCAGGAAAAACTGGTCAGGATTACACTGAGTACAGAAAAACAAACAAAAAGCATCTCACACCAGGATGTGAGAATCAGGGAATAGAACAGAGTAGCAAAGTGGCAGCATCATATACACACACACACACACACACACACACACACACACACACACACACACACACACAGAATTGTGTGTGTGTGTTTTTACAAAACTCAGGTTTATATTGGCACTCTGTGTACACAATAAGACAGTTACATGCTAAAGTCATTGAAACAAGTGCAGCCATCAGTACACAGAAAATTGTGGTCCTCACCATCCAGGGACAGCCAGTCATGCTGAGATGATGGGAGGGCTGGAAGGTCGCGTGCCTTGTACTCAAACACCACAGAGGAAGAGATGACCTCACCGCCCATAGCTACCTGCAGCATCACTAGTCCTGTGTCATGGGCTGGAAATGGATATCAAAAAGGTGTTGGAGCGTGTCTGCACTGGATGAACTGCAGTGGTAAATGTCAAAGGCTAACTTAAGGAAAGTTTGTTAGTCAATCACAGATTATATATTGTGAATGTTATGCTTATGCAAGTCAGTATTTCCTTGAACTTTACCCCAATCACACTGATCAAACAGCCAGATAGTCAAGTATCATTTACTTAATCCTAAAAAAATAGACAAATAAAAAAACCCCCGATGTGTTCATTTGTATCATCTTGTAATATTAAAATGATTGCATCTCCTGAAAAGCAACCCTGTCAGGGTCTTCCTTTCTTCAAAAGTTGCTTATTATCAAGGTCAGACCAAGGTTTAAATTTATAAATAAAGGAAAGTGTGAGTTGTGAGAGAGTAAAGTAAGTAAAGCTTACTTTACTCACAAAGTGCTTCGCAAAGAAATACCAAGGCATACAAAACAGAGTCTTCACAAGCACAAGCGTGTTACCTGGACAATAGCAGCGCAGCACCCCGGGCTGAATGAGGGCAGCGGGGACGCTGATATGGTCGAAAAGACAGCTGTACTCACTGCTTGACTCCAACCATGGACCTGTTATGAGCACCTTCACTCCACCCTGCAGCAGACAGGTAAATGTCTCAGAGTAATATCACACAGTGTAGCTTTGTGTGTGTGTGTGTTTACAGTACACTGCTACAGAGTATAAGTTTAAACAACAGTCTTAGAGAAATGAGACACGTCACTTGATGTGTGTATGTGTGTTAGTATGCAGAATGCCTTATTTCTATCAAAAACCCCATCTGTGACTAAGACAAATGTCCGGGACCCAGGCGCCTAAATATTTGCTTTGGTCTTCATTCTTCTTCATTTACAAAGTAGGCTACCTGCTACTTTGGCAATGACAGATCCATGACTGCTAGCAGCCCCTAGAGGCTGTGCTACGCCTTACATCAAAGCAAAGCAAATTAGCTTGAACTGCCTGAATGAAGCTGTTCTGTGTTCCTGCCAGTGTAGCTAAAATAATGCAATACACAAAGATCATCATTGCCGGCAAATTAAGGAGGCATTTAGTGCAAAAATGGATCACTGGCCTTTGGAGAAAACTGTTGATGTTTTTTTAGGAAACCTAAACCTGAAAAGGATGTATTGGTGATGATTCAAATGAAAGCTGTAAAAACACAGTAGCAGACTTTTATGGATGATTAAAACGGCCAAAATAATAAATAGTTAAATAAAGGAGTTATTAAATAAATACAAATATGCTTTTAAATATATGAAAAGTAATATTAAAAGTGCACACAATAAGTCACTAATAAAATGTAAACTGAATTGATTTGCTTTGCCTTTTGTATTTATTTACCTTTGTACAATATTCCTAATTTTAAAATGTACATAAATAAACTGTGATGTCTGTAGTAGATGAGAAAAATACAAATATAGAGAGATGAAAATAAAGGTAAAACTAAAATATCAATTTATGTTACAAAGTCGTTTATGTGGTATTTAACTCAGTTTCTTTATTTCTGATATTTCTTTAATTTAAATTTTAGCAGTTTTAATCCGCCATAAAATTCAGTATGCCATAGCTTTTGGAAATTATGGCGGCAAGATGCAGTCTTATCTTAAGTATTTGTGGTAATTATATCACAGACTGGTGTCTGGAATATTAGAAATGGTACATGGGTAAATTAATGAGGCTATACTGAAGAATCAGTTAAATATTGAAATTTCATCAAAATCCAGTCAGCTGAGTCTGAAATATTCGGTCTCCTTAATGACCACACAAGCAAGCTGGTGGTACAAATTGTGCTCAGCATGATTTCAGTGCTTAACGTTCATATGAGCCACCTTCAGTCATGTGCTGCAAAGACTAATTTCACTGTAGGGAATAATTATGAATAAATAATGACAATCAAGTTGGGTTTACTAACCTCTGGATAAGACCACTCTGGGGAGTAGTCTGTCACGCCAAACAGCCTCCCAGTCTCCTGGAGCAATCCCAAAGCTCCCTGCTCCACCTCAGAGCCTTGCAAGTGGCCTGCTGCTGTGCCCTGCTCCTCTCCTGCTGCCCCCTCCTGGGGCATCAGAACCCCATTGACAGCTGCCCCGACCCCATTCCCAGACCCTTCAACTGAGATAAAATCATTGATGAGATCAGAAAACTGGCTTCCAAAAGAAGCCTCAAAGCCTTCCAGACTGATGGCTGTTCCTGCTCCAGCTGTTGCAGCTGACACCCCCCCACCTTGCTGAGGAAGTGGAGAGCTGTAGAGCGCCCCCTCAATGGTTGCGCCTGTAGCCATTGACTGAGGACTGGCCACCACTGAGCTGCTTGCCCCTGACAAGCTCACACCATTACAAAGGATCTCATTTTCCCCTCCTCCTCCTCCACCACCTCCTCCGCCTTCCTCTCCTCTGTTGTCATCTGTGGGTTGGAGGTAGTGCTCTGTGTCAACACTGGCATATGCTTCACGAGGATCTCCGGTCTTGAGGAGTAACTCTCCCCCATTTTCAGCAGGCTTGTCTAGGCCTCCGACCTCCTGGTGTCCTCTGCTGCCTGACTGGTCGACAGTGGTATCCTGCGGTGTCAGGGGAAAGGAACCCACTGCTGATCCTTTCCCATTCCTTGCACACAGGGCCTGCTGGTCTGTCCTGGATTGATGGAGGTGTGTATGTGAGTCTCCATTGGCAACTGAAGAGTCTGTTGGCACCGTGGGCAGGCCTATGTAAGCCTGGGCCTCGCCAGATTCCTGGGTTGCCTCAGTACCGTTGGTCTGCAGCTGGGAGGGCTGGCTTGTTTGAGGGGAGGCCTGGAGGAAGAGGCTTGGGGAAGGGTGGTGTGAAGGCTGGGTCAGGGTTGGGACACAGGCTGATGACATGACGGCACTGAAATCCATTTGCTCCAGCGTGGTGCTGGGGCTGAGGCCAGCTCCTTCTCCTACGTAGCTACTCTGAGTGGACAGGGGTTGTTCTAGGGGTGTAGCTTCCGTCTTGATGTTGTTGACGAGGGTTGGGCTGTAGACAAAGCCATTAGAGGAACAGTGGAGGCCTCCATCATCACCGTTACAGCCCTCAGTCTTCCCTCCACCTCCTCCGTATGTCTGGCCCTGCTTGGGATTGTTGAGGAAGCAATCGGGGTCAAAGGTCATGGTGGTTTCAGGAAGGCTGACTGCTCCACCAGAGTCTAAAGAGCTGGACAGAACCAACTCTCCTCCCTCGCCCAATCCTACTCCACCAGGAAACGATGCAAATCTCTGGTTTTCAGGGGCAACAGCTAACAGAATCCCAGCGGTGGCACTGTCGTGGGTAGCTGCCAGCAGGTGGGTGTGGCCGGCGGAATAAACCGAATCCCCAGTGAGCGTGGTGACCTCAGACATGAACACAGCTGTGCTCTGTGATAAGCCCGCTCCAATTGCAAGAGCAGGACTGTCAGCCATGTCACTGGTGATTGACAGCGGGGAGCTCTGTGTGGTGTCAGGGACCTCTACCTGGTTGGTGGAAGTAGAAGAAGACACCTCCATGCTGCTCTGTGGGAGTAAGGAGGGTTTGGTTATCCTGCCATTCCTCCTCTCTCCTCCACCTGCTCTGCTCCTCCCCCCTCCAGGATTGGGCTCTGTCTGGCCCTCTGACACGTCGCTGTTCTGGACCTCTGTGCCATCTGCTTCCTCAGCTCTCTGGCCTGCTGCTACATTGGTACTGACTGCAGTTCCCCCTCCTGCTGCTGCTCCTGACTCCTGCTTGGAGGAGATGATGCGCTGCTTGACACTGGAACATTTCTGATGCAGGCTGCTTCCAGCACCTGGCAGAAAACAAAACAAAACATCAACAAAGAACCAAACATCTGTCATCATTTTCTGTCCTTTCATACTTTCAGGTCAAATTTTCCAGTAACATATTGTAGTATTAACTCATATACATCTAAGAGTGTGTAATGGCACCCTCTAGTGTTCAGAATCTACACTGAAAACTGACTTCATGAAGACTCTGATACAACTGCTGCAAAAACTTTAAGTAAATACCCTTTGAATGTACAATTTGCTTACTTTGCAAGATATTTACTACCCAAAGATATTTCCAAACTTTAAACTAGCTGTATTCATTTACAGGTTCAGTATGTAGCCGGTTCATTTTTTCAAAGAGGATAAAAAACACCAAACACCAGTCTAAGTGTCAGAGGTCTAATGCCAATAAAAACCCCTTTGACCATTGAGGGATCAAGTCAGTGATCAAACCAGAAGTGCTGGGATGGGGGGAAATGCAGAGAGCTGTGTGAACAAATTAGGACATGTGGAGAAGCGAGAAGAAGAAATGAAGCAGTACTTAAGTCAACAAGCCACTTAGTTTTGGGCAGCTGTCCTTATTTGCCCCTCCAATGCAGATCAAAAGATGGGTGCGATTAGATCTCTCTGTGTGTGTATATGTGCGCTAGTGTGTGTACTGGAGTTATCTACTCCCTGATGCTCATTTATGAATAATACATGATGGATATTTCAGGCATCCCTGTCTTCTTTCCCTCAATCCCTCAATTTAGTGGTTGCAATTTGTATCTGCCTCTAGGTGGCAGCATGGCGTTGACTGTTGGAGCCATCAAAAACTATATATGTATATAAATAACTGCATAAAGCCTGAAAATATGTAGCAGATATCTCTTACTACAATGGATTTTTAAAGAACAAGATTCTTTATAATGACAGTACATATCATTTATTCACATGTTAATCAACATAAGGTAATTATGTTTTGGCACATCCACTCTTCTTTTTCGGATCGCTGATTTACAACGAGGAACTAAACGGTGAGCTGCTGCAGTTACATCACATATTTCTTTTCAGTGCAACAGCGAACCCCTCATAGGATCAACAATGAACCAGTGCAACACCTGTTGTCTCTTTTGATAAATGATGGCACAGCTCCAGACAGGGCTCCATTCTGCTGCCAAAGATAAAAACAAGCCAGTGAACCAAACGATCTTTGCTTTAGATGTTCCACACTAACTGTCTACTGATTCATTTTCATGCTTGTCTGGGTTCTTCAGCATCTTTGCCGGTGTTACTTGAACACGACAAGTGGAATGATACTGACCCGGGGTTAGCCACACTCCCGAATTTAGTAAAAGCGCGAGGGCTAAAAACCTGAGTGCTTGAGAGTAGGAGGAAGGTCGTGTAAGTGCTGATGCACAGAGAACTCACACATGGGCTTGAGTTGTCCAATGAGCTCCTCCTTGCTCCACTTTGCCCACTCTTTCCTGTCGGTGTTGATGGAGCAGAGGACAGGGCCGCATGGCTTCCCGCTGTCGTCCACCGCCGGTACATTCAGGTAGTGCACCAGCACAATGTCTGGGTTCTAGCAAACAGTAAGGACACACAAACAAAGGAATGCACACATGTGGCATAAGCTCATCATTTCAGCGATTTCACTGTTTTCCCACCAATGGGAGAGAAAAAGAAAAAAATCTTTAAAAAAAATATCAACATCAGGACTGATGGAAGGAGAAGTGCATAAGGAAAGTGAAAGAGAAAGCGGAGGATACAGAGGAGGTCGAACATTGCGTGTCAGATAAGATTCTCTCACCTGCCCATAAAAGATTTATCAGCCTGAGCCCACTCATCACTCTCTCTAACCCTGCAGTGCCTACATGTGTGTTTGTGCATGTATGTGTGTGTTACGTTTATATATATAGAGAGAGAAACAAAGGAAGAGAACAATTCTCACTATACTGCAGGTCACCAGCAGACCTATGGAATTTCTACCCCATGAATGATTCAACAAGTGCATTCACTTGCATGTGTGTATGTGTGTGTTGGAGAGAGAGTGAGAGAGAGAGAGAGAAGCTCCTCTTGATGAAAGATTCAGTAGACAGACTCAGGTGAGGGGAGGACCTGCTGAGGTGGAACACTTTTCTCTCCGAAAGAGGATAGCACAGTAGGCTGCTGCAGCACCTCACTGTGCAATGCAACAGCATTCGTAGACTGATTTATGACCATTTCCACTGATGTGTTTTGATATATGTGCAAAGAGCAGAAAATGGCACATTAAAGATAAAAAAAGTCAAATTTCCCTTCAAAGCCGGAGACCATGAGAGTCTAACTAGTGGGGCGTGTTGCAAAAAAATGTATTGGGTAAGGGCATGTTCAATTTATGCTGATGGCTGAAATTTTCTTGTAAATTTAATGTGACAAATTATGCAGGAAATTCTGGAAATGAATGAATAAATAAGTATACATTTCCATATTTTACATTTCCATAGCCTGGTATTCAATCATTATTTTCTTTCAAATGGACAGAGAGACAGAGGATGCGTATATAAATGTATGCAGGCATGTTATGATGAATCATGTAGCCTGCCATCTGAAGATGATGAGGTCCTGGTGACTATATGTCCCAAAAGAGAGAGTGAGACCTGTATGGGTGTGCGTGGGGAGCGTGCACACAAATGCTGCTCTGTGCTGTCTCTCACAAGAGCAGCAGAGTGAGTCCAACGTCTCTGTTGAAAAGCAACACGCTTTCATACACAGTAGACATCTGTACGTGAGTCTGTTTGTGCGCGCGAGTTCGTGAGAGCAGGTTGTGTGTGTGTTGTTTGTAGCTTCGGGGTGTTTTCTTGGAGAGGACCACATGGAGACTAGTGGCTGAGTCCTTCATGCTCGCCATGAGCATCGAGTCTCAGTGTTAGGCATCACACTGTGCTCGAGGAAGTTACAGTCAACTTCTGGAGAAGAAATGTTTTTGCCGCTCTGCAAGGCATGGCATTGTATATATCACCCGCTATAGATGCCGAGCCTATTCTAGGTGTAGTCCAGCGGTCTAATTGTGTGTGTAGGAAACTCCTTTTGGCCAAACAACATTAAGTTTTATTGGGAGCCCAGTTTTGTGACAGTATTTCCAGCAGTCCGAGTCTGCCTCATTAATTCAGAAGAGGAGGACTTTTATTGCTGCTTTATGGTTTAGCTTAGTGTTTTGTTTTGAAAATTTAACAGGTGAAGCTCTGTGTAAAACTAATGATATACTAGATAATTTCTAGCAGTCCTTTTTAGGTAGAATGTTAAATAAAAACTAACACAGCTGAAATAAATGCCATGGAGTGGCCATAACGGGAGGGGGAATAGCCCCAAAATGACAAATCTATGGTGCTTTAAATGACAAGTAATAACAAGTCATCACAACACTATGAAATCTTTTTTTAAAGTTTTTTTTAAATGTTTATAAATGCTGTGCGATAAGGAAAGGTTGGAAAGGGCAGTGGGCTTACCTGCAGCAGCCAATAGCATCTACGATGGAAGGTGGGGATGATGGAGGAGTGGACGTAGCAGCCATACAGACACTAGAGAGAGGAGAGGAGAGGCGAGGAGAGGAGAGGAAAAGAGATTACATTGGTTAACGAGAGAAGAAGGGGGATGGCGAAAGCGAGACAAAAACAAAAAAGGAGAAGAGAGGGGGAGAAGACACTGAAGGACAGAACAGGAGAGGAGAACTTAGGTTATACCCACTTAGGTTGTATTGATTGCGGTGCTAAAACTAAATTGCAAACATGCTGTATGCGTTTTTTCCTAATGTCTTTTCTAAAATACCATAAATCTGATGCTGACAATTATAGCACAAGAGATTGTGAAATTTACTGCCTCTGCAAGACTAGGCATAACCCACTTGGAATTCACAAAAAGTTACAATGTTGTCGGCTTACAGACGTTGCAAGACAGATCAGCAACAGTAAAGGGGACAAAGAAGACGAGGAGGAGGAGGAGGAGAGCAAAGCATAAAGTGTGAGTGGAGCCTCAGCGTGGAAAGTATGACGAAAAGTGGGGTTTGGTATGGACTTCATCCAGGGCGGGATGCTGACATAGTGCATGTACAAAATAGTGCAAACTGGTGCCAGTAAAACAGTTGAGATTTCTCAAACCCCCCGAAACAAACTGCAATATGATTTTGTAATACCTGAAGTTAAAGAATATGAAATTGTTTTGCAACAGAGCAGTCACAAAAATATGACTTGCACCAGTAAACATCTTATCTTAGAGAATACGTGAACAAGATATAGAGTCTGACCGTGGATTAAGTCAGACTCCAGTTTGGAGCTTTTGACAGTTTTTGATCATCTGCACAGTGGAAACTTTTTAGTCAATACTCAAAATGTATCGAGGAATCAATACCCGGCCTTAATGAAGTGAGCTTTTCTTTTTGACAGAAGAAGGATGAAATGATGGCAGAAAAGCCTTCTATCAAGGTCAACGCACACAGTACAATCAAGAATCACACACCCACACGATCACACCCACATGCAGCACATAAAGTGGTTGTTTTTGCAGACAATATTGCACACAAACGCAAATACTCAGCAATCAGGCAGTATATAATCCACAGTTAAAACTTGCCCTGTTTTCTTTCTCTTACACACACACTTGTATTTTCTCGCCATTTTGCCTCTTCTCAGAAGTAGCCAGCCCTCTATCTAAAGTGTGTTTTGCCAAAGGCAGAGTGCATTTCCATATATTTCCATTCGATATGAGGAGGCTCTCCATCCAGGGTTATGTTTTTCCTCTCATGCTTCCTGCCGCTCCCCATCCTCCTGCTCCTCTCCCTCTGCTCATCTCGCTGCTTTCCTTGTTCCCTCATTCCCGTGCTCAACACACTGCTTACTTACTTACTTGCTTGAGGGGTCACGGGAAACAGTGACATAAACAATTACTGACCAAGTACCAGAGAGAGCGGCTGCCTTGTGTATGTGTTTGAGCATGTGCATCCATGAACATTTGCAGGGAAATGCATGTGAAATGGGACGTGAGCGTGGAGCTGTGAGTTGCAAAAGGGAATACTTGATCTCAATTATTCCTTTTACGTCTGTGTCTCCAGCTCTCCTTTAATGCAAAACTACTGAGCCCTCCACAAGGATCCATGTGCCTTCTCCTTCGCTCCCCATTCCAAATCATTCTTTCTGTTTCTGACACATGCATGCTCACTCCTCTCACCTCTTGGTATATTCCTGCTGAATAATCAATTTTTGAGCTAGCTGATGTGACTCAAACACACACACTCACTCGCACACACACAGACGCTGCCTTGAGACTGGATCGATACCCCTCTCTGTTCTGCTGAAGGAGGCATTGACATCATTCCTGGCCTCAGGCCAAACACACTCTTATCCTTCACAGAGAGAGAGAGAGGGAGAGAGAGGGGAGACAGAGGGAGGGATTGAGACAGGGACAGGAGGAGGAAGGGAGAGAAAGAAAGATTGGCACCACTTGCTCCCAGGTCACAAAGTGGCCTGTAGCTTCGGCTGTGTGTTCGTTTGTGCTACACGTATGCGGCCCCTCCAAGTGAAGGAGAGTGAGTTAGAGACAAGATTGGCAGTGAAACCACACTCAGCGGCAAACAAGATCATCGACTTGTTTTTCCACTGCAGCCTCTCACCTCTACTCCCTGGACTTTCAGCTTCATGTGATCCTCTCGGGTGGTCTTGCCGTCTTTCCTTTTCTTCCAGCAGTACCCATCCTTCCTGTACTTCACCTTTTTACGGTTGTAGAGGATCATAGAGCCATTCTGAGGTCTGACGGGATACAGGATAAAGACGTAGTCAGGTATTAGGTTGGTCATTCAGAATAAATGTCTTTGAAGCTAGCAGCAATGCAGCTCTCTGGGATACTGAACAGAACATGAGTTTTGTGCTGCATTCCTAAAACTTCCCGTAGTACCCAAAAACTTCTGGATTGCTCAACTCAAACAAGAAAAAAACAAGAATAAAAAAAAAACATGTTGTTGGTGTACACAGTGACATCAGCGTTACTCTCCCACAGTCAAGTGAGCTGGTCTCATGTGCTCCCTCCCCACTCATACATAGACTCCGGCTCCTACATGTTAATATTGTAGTAGGGTGATTTATTGGCACGGCAGGAACATTGGCCTCTAAGCTCCCATTCCATATACACCTATCAGGATGCTCACACACAAACACACAGGCGCACACCAGGAGCCATGCATGTACACGTACACGTGAGACACCGAGGCTATAGCGATATCAAAGGTGGCAGGACCCACCGCCGTGCGTTCTTTGGGCTCAATGTCAAACCTGCTACCCAGCAATCAATCATTATACTTTCAAACATTAAGGACAGGTGTGTGTGTGTGTGTGTGTGTGTGTGTAGGACGCTGAAAAATGCTTTCTCTGCCTTATCTCACCGCAACAGAGAGAGAACAGACGCGTTAACAATCAATAAACTAACATATACTCACGAATGCTCTCTTGCTCTTTCTCTGGCAGTCACATGCACACAAACACACGTTCATACACCTCCTCTTACTGTCCTCGTCTTCATCAACCTCTAGTCTTTATCCCTGTTATCACACTATCTCTTCATTTTCTCTTTTAAGGCTTGTTTGGTTCCCCCATTCTCCCCTCCACTTTTTCTGATCTGCTCATCTCATCTGTTCCCTCTGCTGCTATCTTAACCTGTGCTTCTCCTTTCATCTAATCTCTTTTCCTTTCCTTTCCTTTCCTTTCCTTACCTTTCCTTTCCTTTCCTTTCCTTTCCTTACCTTTCCTTTCCTTCCCTTCTCATATATGTATATGGATTTAGATGATTATAATTTACTCAGAACACTGTGAGCAGTGAAATTGAATTTACTTTGAGCTGATTTTCTTTGACACCTTAAATCTGTTCTGTTTTGGGGGGTGAGCCTGCCAGTTTCTTAGTGGAGTGGAGACCCCCACCCTCCCATCAAAGCCGAGTTTAGTCTCTGTCTCGAGCAGCGTGAGTCATCTTAGAGCTGCTGATTCTAATTATGTTATGGAGAAGATGGATGATTTCAGATGTGTGTGTGCATGTGTGTGTGTGTGTGTGTGTGTGGGCAGCACATGCACACGGGTTCATACGTATGTGTGCATGTGTGTGTGTGGCGACAGGGGCGCGTGGATGGTGCCCGTACTGCTCACAAACCCTCTGATTCAAGCAGACATAAATGCTATTGATTGTAACTAGGCTGTGATGTGTGGGATATAAAAAGCTTTTCCACTGTTCCACAGTGTAGCAGAGCAAAAACAGCGATTTGGAGGAAAGTGGGAAAAAAAGAAACAAAACAAAAACGCCACAATAAAGAGACAGAGTGGGTAAATCCGGTAAGGGAGGAGAGAAGGAGGAGTTCATTACACTGAACAAATGAGGTATTTCAGTCAAGGGGAAGAGATGAAGGTCATTGATTGTTATCTTAATATCGACCCCCCACAAGTGTGCAAACACATGCACACTTATGAATGCAAACGCACGAGCGTGCACGTGCACGCATGCACAAAAACGTATGCGCTGCACGTAAATGTCACGGGCCCCGTTAGCTGATCTTTCCATCTGATGGGATTAGGTGTAATCTGTTCTAATCGTGCCTCATGTCATGTGTAAATGGGATTATATCTAACTGCTGCTCAATAACACCAATATGACTGCTGCTGCTGCTGCTGCTGGGAGACTGAGGCTATACGGCAGCACAACCAATCAATGAGAAATCCATCCACAACATAAACTGTGCTGCTGGCCTCCGGCTGCTCCCGAGAAGAGTCCTTTAGCTGGCACAATAGGAGCGCAGAGGCATATCCTGGGGCTTTCAGCGGTGTCAGTAATCAGAAATGGGGCCACGGGGGTGACCATTTCACTTCCTTAACTTTACTTTCTTCTTTCCTTTCTTGTTTCCCCATCTCTGTCATTTTTCATTCTCTTTCAGTCCTCTACTTACATCTGTATTAACTAGAGTAAATGTCAATAAGGCGATTTATCAATAATTCACACTGCCCTTTCCTTCAGTCTTTTATTTTCTCTTCCTCTTTTTCCTACCCACTTTCCTAGCTATAACCTCTCTCCATTCTAGGAAAAGAGCTGCTTATGGTTCATTCGGATCGATGAATATTCAATTCTGGCATGTGAATCCCCGTTCACACCCCATCTTATATACACAAACCCCCCTCACCCTCACTCATCTGAATTATACATCACTTATCCTAATACATTTACATTCATTAATACTCCGTTTCCAGCTGACTAGGTGCTTTACAGTCCAAGCATGTTCTGGAGCATTCTCTACATGTAGAGCAGGTCGGCTAGAAGGACCCTTTGGAGACAGTCGACGTACATCACTAATGTTTTAATCAAACAGAGGCGCTCAGTCATTGAGATTAAACCAACGTGAGCCACTGACTGATTGAGCGATACTGTGTTTTTGTACGTGTGTGGAAATCATTGTCTGCTCTCTCTCCCCTCACCTGGTTTTCGGCGACGTCGTCAGCCACTCATCGTGTTTCTCAAAAGTGATGAGATATGCAGCAATTTCCTAGAGAGACAGAGACAAGGCAGAAAGGTTATATTGGTATGTGTGCGTATGTGTATCAGTGTGTGTGTGTGTGTGTGTGTGTGTCACAGAGAGATAAAACATAACAGGTATTTCCAGATGACCTGCTGATGCCCACAGAGAGCGTGTCACTATCTTGATTGCCACGGTGAGGTCTGGGCGTCTGATTGGTCACAGTGCAGCCAGTCAGAAGACAGATATAGAGGACAGACCCTCAGGGCCAACAACCAATCACACTCACTGACACACTGATGTTTCCCTCCACTGGGGAGGAAAAGCTATCTCCTAAACACACACACATGCTACATAAACACACACACATGCACAGGGGGTGGGTGTGTGTGTGTGTGTGCAGACCTATACACTAGCTGAGAGAGTGCGCTGATAGGAAAAGTTTTCTTGTACTTGGCAGTTTCACAGTTTCCCGGCAGATAAAGCTCGCTCCTAACTCGATTCTTAATTCCTCTGGCTCTCTTTTCATCTCCTCAGCTCTCCTCTCCACATAACTTCTATTCTTCTTCCACACTCAAATGAATCCAATAAGGAAAAAGAAAGTTCAAATCGTACAGGTGCATTCTACCAAGAGTAAGGAAAAACAAAACGCCCGTACACACACACACATACACAGAGACACAGCCAAAAGAAACTCTTGTTTATACCTCCTGCTTTTTAGTCGCTCACGCAGCATCGCCTTTTCCTTACCCTGTAACCCCTGACTTCCTCCTTGAAACATTGTTCTTTCCCCGACTCCCATCTCACCCACTTGCTGTGAAAGACTGTGAAATGTAAATTGTCCTCTTAAGGCAATCAGTGTTTGAAATGTGGCACAAAGCAATAGTGAAGAAGACATCAACACTCCAGCACTCCTTCATCTGCCCCCTCAGATCAACAGTCTCCTCTCCAGACCTCCTCTGCCTCTTTCTGCGTGTGTGTGTGTGTGTGTGTGTGTGTGTGTGTGTGTGTTTAGGTATTTGTCCCAGTTTGGCAAGAGAGTGTTTCAGCTCCACACCGATCAGACGAGATGAAGGGAGGGGTGGGGATGGCGATGGCGATGGGGGGGAACAGCTGAAGGGTGCTTGCACTTAACTGGATTGTTTTTATTTTTTTATGTACCCTCCATTTGTTCCTCTCATTCCAACCCCTTACTGCCTCATCCTACATTTATGTGTGTTTATGTGTGCGTGTGTATGTGTGGGCTGGGCTGTTATCACACCCTTAATAATTATCACTCTCAAGCTGGCCACTATTAATGTCTGTCTGTCTGTCTCAGGCACATAAAACTGCTCCGAGTCATGGTTGGGTTGGATGCACACAGGCACATTTTCAGCCAAAGCTCGGCACAAACAACAGACACACACACACACACACGCATGCACACGCGCGCGCACACGCACACACACACACACACAAATGCAAAAGGAGTGCCTCATTCATTTATGCATCTATTCATTAGCTGTGACAGGCAGCCACCTCTCCTCCTCCCAAACCACTCCGCAGCAAGTCAATATCCTATACGGCCTCCACAGCTCCGGCCAGGCACTTGTGCCCCCCTAGTGACTGTCAGCCAGTGGGAGGCGGGAGGAGAGAGGAGAAGAAGAGAGGAGACGAGGGGCTGGGAGAGGCAGAAGGATGGGAGGATTAAGAAGGAGGGAGAGAGACTTGCAATTAAAGGCCTGCCCCATAAGAGCCATTAAAAAAGCTAGAAACAGAAGAGTCAGCTGAAACGGCCGCCTGACACACTCTAAAACACACCCACACACACATTCACACTGCACACACACACACACACTGCTGCTCACTCCCTCAACAGCACTCACGCTCACCCGTGTGAAGAGTGACAGAAGTGAGACGGTGAAGGTCGAACCTCAGGAAGTCACTGTTATTGTCCCAGTAGAAAGCAGTGATGGAGTGCTTTGAGCATGCCTGGTGATGGTGACACACTGACCCTTTAGGAATACTGTGTGTGCATGTGTGTGTGTACGTGTCTGTGTGTGTGTACATGCACGCGCATGCGTGCGTGCATAATTGCTATGCCAGACACACGGACAGGGACGAGTATCTTCCTCAAGGGATCTACTCTAGAAACCCAGACATTCTGCATGTCTGTGTGAGTCTACGTAATAATACATCACGACAGGCCTGCCTGAATGCACACACGCGCACTATTCCCAACACACACCTATTCCTGTCTGTCTGCGTGTGAGAGAAACTGAGAAAGAGACAGAGTTACTTAAGAAGTATCTAACAAAGCAGAGAGCATAAGTGGGAAGTTAGATTGGAGCGAGTGATGCAGTTAGGGAAATCAGCCTCCCACTCATGCATCACTGAGACCATCTCCCTCCAAGAAACTGGCATGTACAGAACAGCAGACAGACAGCCATACACACACACACACACACACAC